CGTATTGTTAAAGAGTAACTTATGTTATCGTTCTGAAATGATTCGATAGATGGCGGTATAAGGCTAGTGTTGTAAATTTCCAAAAACTGCATCGATTTTAATTACAAAAAAATATGTTCGATTATATAGACGTCATCTAAAAAATATTGTCTTGATAATTGAATTGTTTATATTTCTCATTACATATTCATAACAATGTGATTAACTGTAAAATAAAAAATAATGAGCTAACGAAGTTATTATTCAAACCATTACATCTATTATCAACATTAGCATTTGGGGTCATCACACTATGAAGTATGAGTCACTAAAATGTAACGGAGTGATGTTCTTAGTCTATTCATAAGGCGTAGTTAATATTCTTTGTCACAAAAAAATATTTTTATTTATACATAATACATTATGCAAATAATAGATAATGATAGTTGGTAATGAATTTCTAACGTCTATATAATTTGAACAATAGTTAATTCTTTTATTAAAATGTAAAATCGCTGTCCCGGTAAGGACACCTAAAATTTAATTTATTTTTAATGAAAACAAAAGTACCGTAGATCATAGATACAAGATTATTGTATAAAGTTCAATGATAAAATTACATTAACGTAACTAATACATGTTTCATTAACGTAAAGCATCATAAATTTACATTACATATATCATCGCATTTAAATAAAATTGCTACTCCAAATAGATAGAATAAACAAGTAATTAATGCATCTAGACTACACATGCTTCACAGAAATTGGTCCATTCATGCCTATATTTAGAACGTTTTGAACAACAACCTTTGTTTTTGTATTAACCATTGACTAAGCTGGGTAACACACACCGAGGAATATCGTTCGATGATATGGGACTGAGTCATTAAAAATTCTTCTCTTCTTCAGTTTCCTATAATAGCACTCAACTATAAGCTATAAAGAAGCTTCTTAGAAATATTTTATAATATTTATTATAAAATAAAAAGTTTAAACCTGTTTCTTTAAGTTAAAAGAAAAACAAATTAATAAAATAAAAAAAATGATTAATGATTTTTTTATATCCTATTATGTACATATTTTGTGTTCAGCCTTTATTTATCGGTATCACTACGTGGCACGGGCCTCCCGGGTCTTGGACTGTAGTAATAAAATGAAGGGATGTTTTGTATAACGGTAGTTAATGAGGCTAGAATTCATTGTTAAAAGGAATTAATAAATAAAAATCATGATTTTTCTTTATTTTTAACATAATGAATTATTTTTTTAAATATCAAAACCACGTGACTACAAACGATAATTACGGTTTGTGACGTCACTTATCATTGTCACTAGTGTCTAGTACAGTATTATATGATATATGCTAGTTTGTTTGTATACTGTATACAGTACCTACAGTGTATAGGGGTTTTGAAAACTCAATTCTCTGTAATCTCAAAATTTTAATCGCTTAAATAAGTAATATTTAAATTTACTTACGAGTACGTTCCTGGTCAATACCATGGCGAACAAATTTGTCCGAGCTAACAACTAAAAACTTTCAAGTTTCCTGGAGGGGTCCTGAATAGTTGCCGATAGAAATCTGGCATACTAGTTTACTATAACGCACTAGGAAATAATAATATGGAAGATAAATCGAATTCATACGAAATAGAAGATAAGTAAAAATTGCTTCGCATTAATTTTATAAAAGGTTCCACGAAAGATTCTTACGATAGTAATGACTAAGTGGTCTCCACAAATAAATTAAATTCGTCTTGTCGCGTACCGCTATTTTTTACTGCAAGAGTAACAAGCTTGAAGAAGTTAACGGCCGATAAAATTGGCAATCTTTTTAAGTGCGTATTTATCAATTTACCTAGATTATCTAAATGTGTAAATGGTATAAATAAATATTTATTAACTGGATAACCCAATTTTAAAATCATAAACTTTCTAATATATCTTGGGTGTTATCAAGCCAAAATTAATATCCGATCAGATAAAAATTAAAGGAGGAAGATATCGTTAGCTTAACAAACTTATCTCTTACTCTATATACTTACGTGAGTTGGAATAGTATAGATATTTATTAAAATTAATAAACTTTATCACATAGGTCCTAGACTAATGAATAAAATGCTTTGATACAATATTAATATAAAACCATAATAAACACATGTTAAAAATATAGAGTACCTAGTACATAGTTACAAGATTGGAAATAATAAGGAAGTAGATTCCAAAGCTACAAGCGTGGTCTACGTTCACTGATCTAAAACTTTCGCAATTCCTAACTCCCACACGTCTTGCATCAAGTGACACCATTATAAACGATTACAATGAATTGCTGCTAAATGATTTTAATTGGACTGCAAAAACTACGAAGTACATTAATTAACTGACCAAATTTATTCACTTTACTTTAGATAATAATATTTAAAACTTCAGTCTAAAGTGACTTTTTATTTGAAATCTATTTACTAATAATTTAATTGATACATGATCTGTACACATGTACTTAGTTTTTGTTCAATTATGTATTTTTTTATTTAAATAATATATTTCAAAAACAGTATAGAAAGAAAAATAAACATCCTTTTGAATATATGTAATTGTAGTTTTTATTTAGAACAATTACACTTTTACGAGCGATACGAATTCTTGTAAAACCTATGTTGGGATTTTATGATCTCCGTTCAGGATAACAACGGTACAAAAATAGGATTGTTGAGGTGAATGATCCCGGTTTTAATGCTCTCGTAAAAATAAGATCAAATTAAAGTAGTGACGCAAGATTCAGGAAGTAATAAATGTTTTAAACATATGGTAAATTTTAGTCTTTTTGCATTCATGCAAAGAGGGATTTTGAAAACAGGTCATAATGGCAACCAATTACAATTTATTTTAGTTTCCTGCTGGGCTTTAAATTTGAAAGAATAATTTAAAGCCAATATACAATGTATTATCATAAAACAATTATAATTTTGAATAAGCGTTTTATATATTTAAAAGAAGGCTACATTTTATACTAAACAACTTCTATAAGATACATATATTTTTTATGGTTGAATGGCCACGAAAGCACCATCGTATAAACAAGCCTCCTTAAAACTTATCAAGTCGAATGTCAAAGTGAAACATGTTCACATTTAATGAATACGTCGCGGGCACAGTTGGCTATCATGATGTAATCGGATTACCTTGCCGGAGAGCCCTTTACAAAGGTAAGCCTGAGTTTGACCTCCTTTCCTAAATATGGAGAAGTTTTGTGAGGCCATCGAGACTTTTTATTACATGATAACTATTTTCTCAATTTAACCTCGTCTCCAATTCTTTAGTTTTTGCATAAAGGCCGTTGCTAACCGATATTGTAAAAATTGTTAAATTAAATAATTTACTGACTGCTTTTATACTGTCTGTTTTAACTAAATGATAAAATATACGTATGCATATATATATAATAATTGTACGAATATCCATGAAATCATGGGTAATTTGTTCAAAAATATACTTAAATTTCAATTGATTAGTAATTGGAAATCGGCATTACATATATTTGAGATAACAAGAGAAAGTAATGAAATCCATTTCAATATAATATGAAGAAACAAGCATATCTTGTAACTTAACGATTCCTGGGTGGGCCGACTTCGCAGATGTCCAGCAAATTCCAAATTAATGTTGTACATTGCCATCAATTAAATCACTTGTACCGAGGCTCGTCTACCCACACGCCTGTCCTGTCGTTTACTTTAGTCAAGTCGATGCGTTTCACTCGAAACCATGTTAAAATTAGAATATCCGTTCGTCAGTTCTTAGACAAAATGCATCCAGTTTGATGTAGGAGTGTACTAGTTGTGGTTCTTTTTGCATATTAATGCAATCATTGTTGTCAAGTAATTGTTACCTGCGTGTGTGCTTGTGTATACAATTAATGAAATATATTCGTAATCATTAATGAATTACTATTTAAATTTTTATTCATTTATAAACATTGGTTATATAGGAATATGGTTAATTTTTATTTAATTACTCTCCCAGAAATTTATCACGACTGTTAAATTTATTTTATTCCTAACAAAAACAAATCTATCCTACGGGAACCGTACATTTTTCCGGGATAAAAAGTAACCTGTGTTATTCCAGACTATAATCTATCTCTGTGCCAAATATCAGCCAGATCCGTTCCGCCGTTCAGGCGTGAAAGAGTAACAAATACCCATACATACTCACAAACTTTCATATTTATAATGTTACTACGGATTTAAATTAGGTACTTTTTCAATGTAGCTTTATTTTTTGAATATCCTACTTTTTATAATGTTTTGAATATAAGTACTTACTTCTTTTGCTTTTATTATAATTAATTTAAATACATATAGAATTTTACATGAAAGCTTATATAACAATCTAACTTGTGATTCCTATTTTCTATAATAATTATATTATTTTAAGTGTACCTATTATTCATTGAAATTCATTGTTTCATCTATTAACGACTTATTAGCATCTACATAATATGGGAAACTACTAAAATATCATGCATAACTAATTCTATCTAAAGTTTTAAACAGTTTCTATAAAGTATGAAGCAGTCTCACATATGCAGGACTGAGACTACTTCAAACATAAACATTAAAGTGTAAACACCAAGACTAATGACTCACAATGACGAAGTTTTCATTATCATATCACAACCACAAGCATACGTTAGTTGCAATCTGACACTGGGAGCTATTTGTCGCTTTAAAACGTTATACGCGTACTTTGTTTAATTTTTATAAATATTATTTACATTTCCATATTTATTCAAGGCTGTTTTAATGAGTGAACGCTAGTGATACGGTGTAGGGTCGCGCACAGGATAGTGCGTATTTTTCTCAACGGCGAGAACAAAGGGATCTTATTTGCGATTTTATTTTACACTTTCCCAAACTGACATACCAGCCTGTTGATCTACACACGTGAACAGTGCATATGTGAAAACGAGACGATGCGAGCAATCGCGGCGCGCGTGTAAAAAAATCGAATGCAAAAATGATTAAAAGGAACGGTGATAATGTATTTGCGATCGCGTCGAGCAACAATCAGTGTCAAGGCGGCCGGAGCGCTGTCTCGCTCTGCGGCGCCGCCACGAGGATCCCGCGAGCCACTGCTGCCAGGATGACGCAGCCCGACGCGCATCAAAACACCAAGGAGGCGAACATCGCTTTATCAACTTACGTGGAAAAGTGGAAGAACAGATACGAGGAGGCCGAGAGGAAGCACAAAACGTACCTCCTCAAATCCGAAAAAGGTCGGTACTATTCATTTCAACTCGGAAATCTTTAATTTTCCCACTTTTTTGTTTGGCAACTGCGCATGCCCCAGCTGGCCGGGTCATATGCAAACGAAAGTACGAATGGTAAATCCTAGTCTCGCATTTGTCGGATTATGATAGGCGATAACCTGTTGCTTACGCATTATATATTCTTAAACTTATACAACACTCGGGTTAAAAAGTTCTGTAACTTTGTACATAGAATACTCGGTTTGCAATAAGATTTTTATGTAAATATTTTGTAGAACTCGCGTCAAATACAACTTTAAACTAAATATGTTTACTACTGCGCAATACACCTGGTGTAATTTACCTTCGATCTATAAACGATAACATCATATTCTTTGGGATTACAACATAATTTAAAGTTCGTTATGTTATTTATAGGAATTTTGTAATATCGATTTATAATTGCACAGCACTATTTTATGTCATATTTTGTTAAATGTCAAAATCAATAATCACAGTATTTCCAATTTTAGTATTTTAAAAGAATAGATAAGTAATTAAATAAACTAAATTAATACTTATTCTCCAAGAAAAGTGAGTATTTATAGTTCAATATATACATTAATTAAGTGAAAGGAACATTTGATAATAAAAACTGCTAATAAAAGTGAATCGTATTCGTATACGAGTTGCAAATTAACAAATATATAATATTAATCATATTATAATAATATTGATAGCTTGATATAGGTATTTAATTTAGTATATTTATGAGAACTTAATATTACACATTTTAAAGTGCTTTTACTGTAACGTTAAAAATATAAAACTGTAGTTTAATTTGCTAGTGTAAAACTTATAAAATTATCTTTAAATATGTTATATGCAAGGCTTGCAAATAAACAACAGCTTGCTTTGCTAATATTTTAGGTCAAGCAAAATAATGTTTTTTGTTTATGCAGCAACTGCAAGTGTAAATTTACACTATCATATCTTTTATTATATATTGAGTTTATTCTTTGTGTTGACAAAATAATTCATTACCAAATAATAAAAAATACTAAATAGGTAGAGATAAAATCTATTTGGAAGATAAGCTTTTCTGTTAGTCATTTATATAAGGTTTTAACTTTAAAGTTAGGTACTCTTAGGTTTCAGTTATTATTTTATTATATTCTAACCATATATGTCAAAGCTAAATAAAAATGTAGACCAAACTCTTACAATTAGATTTTATAAAACCATTAGAACAAAAGACATTAGTGCAAGATTGAAATTTATGAAAACCCAAAATTATTTATTATTTTATGTAACAGTAACATAAATAATGAATCGTCTAAATACAGTCAATTATCAACTTGAATAAGGATAAATTGACTTCAACAAACATTATTAATATTATATTAACACAAGTCCTTAAGTAATGTTTATATATATTTGGAACTTAATTACATTGTAAGGCAATCTACTTATACTTGTAAAATTATATGCTCTGCTTTGATTTTGGTTTAAAATACATATAATTATGAAGTTAATTTTGGCATCATTTTAGATGTACCACATGCCTTTATTTATTTGTTAGTTTATTATAGTTGTGCTGATTCATACGATAATAGTTGTTGACAATAAAAAGTTAAATAATTTATTCATCTATACACATAATAAAATTCTGAGTGGAATCTGTATATTAAATATTTTTTGGACAATCTTATTGAAATAGTCATTATTATCGATACAGAGGCCGAATCTATAGTCTTTAGAATTATTGTGTATCTGTCTGACTTGACACCACACACACTACACAACCACTGGACAGATTTTAATGAAATTTGGTATGATGAGAGCTGGTTATCCGGCTCAACATGTAGGATACTTTTTACTGCAGGAAAATATCTCATCTCTGAGAACCATTGAAATGTAGTACCACTATAATTTTTAAATAACTATGTTATTCTTAAATCCATGAAACTATGATACTTTAAAAGTCATGTATGTATTCATAGTAATATATTCATATGTTCCTTATTTATCATATAACATTTAATTATGAGGAATCAAACATTATATAATAACTTAAGATTCTTTTAAAAATAAAAGGATATTGCTATTGTAGTTTAAACTTTTACCCATACATTTTAAATATATAATTTTTAATTTAACCCCATTTGCCACCACCATTATACTAAATAGTAGGTTTATTTAAAAATCATGTTTAAAAAGTGTGAAACAGTATCATTTGAACTTCATTATGTATATTAAGTAAGAGGTAGTCCAGTGATAGATTCCTCGTAGACTTACATACTGATATTAATTTAAATTTTAAAAATGTAATAAGTAACAACAAATTCAAAAATGCTTGAAAAGGTCTGTTTGAATAAAGTATTAATATATTGTTTTGTTAGTAGCAAGCCATTTAAATCTAATTAAGAATTTAGTGTAAGTGAACTTTAATAGCTTATTATTGTGTACATTAGTTAATGTAACAGTTTGTTTAGCACCCATGATAGAAACAAATGTTCGTGCTGATCACACAAATGAATGCCTCCAGCGGTACCCAAACCCACGACTGCTGGCACAGCAGGTAAGGTCACTACAAACAGCCAAACGTGTTGTCAAACACATACATAGAATAAATGTTTATAATATAATATTGTTTGTCTCAGATTGAGTGCACAACATCTGTAGAGATTTTAATAGGACTCGTTATTGTGTATTAATGAAATACGAGTAGGTATATTGTTTTAAACACACAGTCGGGTTTCTTTTCAATCGGTCAAGTAAGTCCAAAGATTCCTGAACTCCTCTTTCTAAGCGCTCCCATTTAAGAAAGGTTTTATGAGTTTGTTTCTCCAGTTCTTCTCATTTCTGAGGCTTCTTTCTGAACTGGGAGTAGACTCGTGGTCGTGGCGTTCACTAATAATTGTAATAATTTAATGCTGAATAAAATATTTTGAATTTGAAATGGCTGAAGACTAAGTAATATAGACGACTAAACATATACATATAATTCACTACATTCCAAAGAAGGAAATAGGAAAAATAAACTTTTCCAGGGAATTCAATTAGTTTTACGAATTATATTGGTGATGTAATATTTTATCTTTGAGAAATAAAAGATAAGATAGCGTCAAAACGACTCATAGGACATTCCAACTCAAATGTTCTATTAGTCAAACGTTGTTGTCGTTAAGTTTAGGGCCGCTAAAACTAAAAAAACATTAGACTATCAAATGAAAACCACACCCAAAAAAAAATTATGTTTATCTTCTACTTCGATTCTGCTTATTAGGATGACATACAAACAAACCGTTTTGCATTTATATAGTAACTAGTTACGTTTTAATGTTGAGTATAGATTTCTCTGAGATGAGATATTTTCCCGCAGTAAGAAGTATCCTTTATGTGGTTTACTCGGATAACCAGCTATCATCATACCAGGTGTCATCAAAATCTGCCCATTGGTTTTCTCGTGATGCGTTCCCAGATAGACAGACACACGGACACAAGAATTCTAAAAAATATAGATTCGGTCTCTTTATCGATAATAATGACTATTTCAATAAGATTTTCAAAAAATATATTTCATGTACAGATTCGACTCGGTTAGCTTTGATATTATAATTAATATGAATGTTTGTGAGTATGGATGTTTGTTACTATTTCACGGCTGAACGAATCTGGATGAAATTTGGCACAGAGATAGATTATAGTCTGGAATAACTCATAAGCTACTTTTTATCCCGGAAAAATGTACGGATCCCGTGGGATAGGTTTGTTTTTGCTTTCCTAGAGACGAACCCGAGCGAAGCGATGGTGAGCCGCTAGTTTTATTATATGTATAGATAATTGAAGTAAACATTCTAAAATAACATTTCCATAAGATTAGTTACAATTGTAATGTCCGTATTGTTCCGCCGACATGCTTCAACAAATACGGGCTAGATCTCAACAGATAAAGTGACATATCAAATGCATATCCTTGGAGTACACAACCAGCTTATATGGTCTAAGTAACTTGATTATGTACTCAATTTATTTACACGAAAAACCTTAATTTGATCAACTTCAAAAAAAAGAGGAAGATGTTTCTTTGGGTGTCTTAAATCATACCTATAATTAATATGTATCTCAAAAGGGTTGTTATATAAATTTTACAATTAATAAAACCATCCCTCTCTAATAATGGAATGATTACTTTTAATGTGATTTTAAGATCACTTAAGTAAATTTTTACTGAAAAATTAATTATTTGTAAAATTTATCGAATAACGTAATGAATCTTTCTAAATATCTTGTAAGTTCGAGATTTAATATCCCACATATCCAGCGTGGTGGTCTATGACCTAATCACCCTCAAATTAAGTAAATATTCGTGGATCGTGATGATGATCATGGTTACGAGAGGCTGAATTAGTATCTTTTTATTATTATCAGTAATAAAATTTAACGGATGACGTAGTGAATATTTCTAAATATCTTGGAAATTCGAGATTTAACAACCCACTTGGCCAGCGTGGTGAGCTATGGCCTAATATTAAATAATAAAATCTACATATAAATAGACAAAAAAAACAGCAAATTTTTTTCCTCTGTTTGTCAACCATTTTTCTTTTGATCAGTGCTATCAATTTTTATTTGGAAACAGATTTTTTATATAGATAGGTAAACTCTATTCATATAGGTGTGTTTTCCTTAAATTTTTAATAATGATTATGATAGAATTTCATCCACTTGGCAAATAGAAGTAATAATAAAACGTCATTATTCCAGCAAAACGTGAGCACGATGACCTCCAGCGTCGGTACAACATCGTCACAGAAGAACGAAATCACCTCGAAGCTGAACTCAATGACAGGGAGAAGGAACTCAACAAGCTTCGAGCCGTATCCGAGAAGCTGTTTAAAGAATATCAACAACTCAAGAACCAACATGAGATTGATACTGGGGTTATGCAAAAGTGAGTATAAATCCATTATTATTAATATTATAAATGTGAAAGTGTGTGTTTTTTTGTCCTTCTTTCACGTCGAAACGGAGAGACGGATTGGCGTGATTTTTTTGTGTGGAGATAGTTGGATGGCTGGTGAGTGACATAGGCTACCTTTGACCACGGGAGATTATCTCATTCCCACGGGAAAACATGTTACAATACAACCCACAACAACTCATCACACCCTATGTACCCGTAACCGTAAAAAAAGTCAATGTAGAGACACAAACAGCTCTATTTTTACATTTACATTATATTTATGGGCTCATCATACAATTAAAAATTCCGAACTTCCTACTATTTTGCATTGCGTCAAACGCGTCCGAATGGAAAATTGTCAACAATTAGCAGAAGGGAGATGAAAAGAATTATAAATGGGTCCTAGGGTCCGTATGGGGAAAAATAATCTACAAACAAACACTGTATTTTATACTCTATCATTGTGTGATAGAGTTGGTTATTGTTTGCCTTGTTTTGTTTGAATATTCATATTCAATTAAAGGAAGATATAATTATTTATTTATGTTTTAATTAGCTTAATGATATAAGGTGCTTCAATTGTTTGAATGGCTTATTGTGGTGTCGATTGCAGTTATCTTATCACTTCTGATCTGGTGACAATTCACCTAGTTTTGTTACTTGTTTACACGGTTATAGTTGAAAATTAACTTTTCAAAATGGGAAGGTGAGTTCTATATATACTTTAAAGTTTTACTAAAATCGTTTCAGCAGATTTTATACGATACGTATAATTGGATTTTATTAGTTTTATAGCGACATTAGATATTATTGTGTTTTTATGTCAAACTAGCGACTCACCCTCGCTGTGCTCGGGTTCGTGCCTAGTTTTTACGTTTAACTTTTAGATTTCTCAGAGATGAGATATTTTTCCGCAGTAAAAAATGTCCTATATGTTGACCCGGACAACCAGCTACCATCATACCAAATTTTATCGAAATCTGTCTAGTGGTTTCTCTTGATGCGGTCACAGAGAGACAGACAGACAAAAATTCTAAAAACTATAGATTTGACCTCTGTATCGATATTTCAATTTCAATAAAATTTTCCAAAAAAATATTTAATGTACAGATTCTACTTACTTAGTTACAATTTTATTATAAGTATAAATTAATGGTAATAAAAAATAAGGAAAATATATACATATTATAATAGCCTGCATCCTATTTAGTAGGTCACAGGTGTCGGTTACATTTTTATAAGATGAGTGATGTTGATTATATACGTTTTATTAATTATCTTCTTAATATATAAAATTCCCGTGTCGCGATGTTCGTCAGGAATGAACTCCGAAACCACTTATCCGATCTTAACGTTTTTTTTAAATGTGTGATTGGTTTCAACTTAAAATATAGGATAATTTTTATCCCGATTATTACCTTTTTTATTTTATTGAAAAATTAACGATTTTCATATGTGTGCCACAGCAACGCGTTGCCGTAGTCTGCTAGTAGTAGTAAGAAAAAAGTGATTGAGCATGCAACACCGTGTCATAAGTAAATCCTCTTTGCTATTAAATGAAAGCTAAAAAGTTGATAATCCTTAATTTAACTTACCCAATAATGGGATTGCAGGAATCCCGTCAGTTCAATTGTTTCCCACGGGACAACTAACTTACTAGTATCTCGTAAAAAGTTACTTGTCTTGCATTAATCTATAGTATATAAATAGACAGACAGTTTTTTCTCGTCTGTTTGTCAACCGATTTTTTTCTTTTTTATTTAGTAGCTATTGATGAGCTTTTAGTGTTATTAATAAAAAAAGGCTTTTTTATATAAGTAGGTAAATTATATTCGTATATGTTTTCCTTAATTTTTTTAATAATGATTTTGGCCTAATTTTTACCATTAGTAATTAATTAATGACTTATCTTTAATTGAAGTGTATCAAAACCTGTTCTAATTGTATATAACATAAACAAGATAATGTTTTTAGCACGCTTCTATTAGCTTTCCTGGTATAGATACGTAATATGTACCTAGTCGTTTCTTCGAAATCGATTATAAAATTTATTTCTAATTATAGTATCGATCTAAAACGTTATATGTAAATTATAATTAGCAATACAATACCAATAATTCGATACCATGAAACTGATTTGATAGTGGCTCTTAAGAGGATAACGGGACTCTTCAATGGGTAAGAAAACGAGTCAAGCGCGAGTCGGGCTCGAACACGAAGGGTTCCATCGTACAAGACCGTTTGTAATATCCGATTTTTTAATTTGCATGACGGCCATTTTTAAATTCGCCATCTTGGTTTTTATTTGTTATAACGATATTAGAAATACACACTCTGTGAAAATTTCAACTCTTTACCTATTACGGTTCATGAGATACAGCCCGCTGACAGACAGACGGACCGATCGCAGTTTAGTAATAAGGACACCCTAAAAATCTTATAGTTTGGGTTTGTATTGTAATCAATCAAATCAATTTTTTACTTATAATTAATTATTAATATGTATAATATGTTACGCACTATTTCATAAGCAATTTGCATCGATTTAGAAAGTATGAATATATTATATGTACGTAATATTGAAATTGAGGCGATATTATAATTTCATACGAAATTTCACTTCTCGATGCAAAATCTTCTCAGTCCCATTTTTTCTTTTATTATACGTGTTTGTGTTTTTTTAATATAGATATTTTTTATAAATATGGCTTTTGATAATAATATTAATTGCCAAATTATATTTAATATTATATGTGTATATCAAAAAGTAAAATTTAAAAAATTGAAGGTTTGTGAGTGCGATTTAGAGGCCGAAATGTAAGTACTTATTAAATCCTATTTATATATTTGCTAAAAAAGTTATAATAAAAAAAACCGTTGTTTTGCTTTTAAATTTATATTCTAGTTGAAATTTAGTATACAATTCTTGTAAGTACTATACTTATAGCTTTCGGGATACAAAAAAGCACCTATATTTGAAACTAAACATAATCTATTATGTTTTAATAATTATAAACTTTATTGATCGGCACAAACTTGAACTTGTGACCATTGTCATAAACGTACGTTACAACTCCCTAAACTAAAATGGATTTTAATGTAATTTTCTCTTGCATTTAGATAATTTCTTCAGAATGGATGTTGGATTTGTAGACTACATATTGTATTTATATAAAATGAATGAAGTTTAGTTAAAACTTGATGTTTAGTAAACAAGTTGTTAGGTCATTGTAGGTCAGGGCATGTAGAAATACTTTATAATTGCTTGCTTTGTCCATATCATATGGACTCATGACCGTGAGAGTGATATTGACCATGATATATTTATGGGATAAATGTTTTGGTACATTAAACATATTTGTTACTAGCATTGCCCGTGGCTCCGCGCCCGCGTTCATATGAGAAAAACCCAATTCTTAGGTTTTACATATTAGTATACTCTTACATTGCAGTTTTTGTATTTTTTCTCAGAAATGAGATATTTTCAAATTTCATCAAAATCCCTCCAGAGGTTTTTCCGTGATGCGGTAACAGACAGACAGACAGACAGACAAAAATTCTAAAAACTATAGATTCGGCCTCTATATCGATAATAATGTCTATTTCAATTAGATTTTCCAAAAAATATTGAAAGTACAGATTCGACTCAGTTAGAATTTTATTATATGTATAGATTTAGATTTTTTTAACAATTGACGAAGCGAGATTATCGTGCAATGTACACACGTACATACAACCGAGTTGAGCACCTCTCTTTATTCTAGTCGGTTACAGAGAAGATGGATTGAATGACAAATCAAGGCTTAATTCATTTCTACGTCTAAAAATGTTATTTTAAGAAGTAAAGGATCTTTGAGGCATTACATAATATGTCCTGGGTACAATTTTTTTTCTTTGTAAAATTTCGTAAGTAACAAATTACTAAAACTACTTAAAAAAATATATAAAACACATTCTATAATAAGTGAGTTGGATAAAAGTGAAAAGAAATACGAAATTTTGCCATCGAACGATGTTATTCAAATAGTGTTTTGAATTTATTATTCTAATAGATATAGATTTTACGAATACCGAAAGTTTCTCCTGTTTAAAAATATAACAGTTTTTATAATTGTAAGTAAAACTATCTTTTCGAAATTCCAAAGGCATTATGTAATTGTTACAGACAGCCTACCCACAAAATAACAAAATGAATTCAAAAAATCCTGTAACAAATGCCTTTAAGACATCTAAAACCTTAGTCTCTCCCGTGACCATGATTGCTGTTTTACAGCATTCGAAACCGCGTCGTGAGCCAAATATCAAAATAATTCCGCGAAAAAATCCTAAAAGACAGTTTTATTTAAAATGTCAAATATTCGCATTTAAGAAAGTTTATATTAGCTTTTATAAACTTTAAAGACTTAGAGCTCCAAAAGCCATTTTCTAAAATGGCGCCTTAATAAAAAATAGTTTACAAAGGTCAATAGCACACGTTATCAAATTCATACGGAATTAATCACATAGATTTCGCAAGAAGAAATTATAAGTCCCGCTAACTCTTTACACGATTATTATGACGACACGTTTGGCTCAGTTTGTAGTGCTGTGAAAGCGGTCGTGGGTTCGAGTCCCGTTGGGGGCATTCATTTGTGTGATCAGCGCGAATGTTTGTACTCCAGTCATGAATGACTGACATTTATAGATATGTATGTATTTTAAAGCTATATATGTGTAGTGTATCAACTATCTGGTATTTATAACACAGGCCTTTAACACATTATTTATTTAGAATTAGACGACTATTAAATGCGAAAGTTTGTATGTCTGTATGTTTTTTACTCCTTAACGCTAAAACGGTTACATGGATTTGGATGAAATTTACTACGTAGACAGGCTATTATAACTTGGCATAACACAATCTACTGTGGGTAAGCTAGTGTAGTCTATACAGATAAATAAAATTGAAGTGTCTGTTTGTAATATCAAAATAACAGCTTTTTACTAAATGCATATGAAATTATATACATTACTTATAAGAAAAACACAATTTTTAAAATTTTCGTCTGTCTGTCTGTTCCGGCTAATCTGCGAAACGGCTGGACTGATTTTGACGGGACTTTCATTGGCAGATAGCTGATGTTATAAGGAGTAACTTATGCGACTTTTATTTTAGAAGAAGAATTAGGGTTCCGCTCAAAAAAATTAAAACGTACCTAGGTACGCACCCGAGCAAAGCGATGGTAAGTTGCTAGTATATAATATAAGACAGGATACACAGTATTAATATTGCAACATAAAAAAGTTTTCCATAGTACACAGTGTTGTATGAATGATACAAATACGTCACCGCCTACATCTATGTATAATGGAGTGGTGTAATGTATGGCACTCAAAGTTTCTCATTAAGTATGAATTGTAAATAGCTTGCGCTATTTCTATGCTATTACGTCAACGTGATAACATACCTTTGTTGTTTAAAATAAATTAGACATTTCCCGCGGCCTCGCCTACATTTGTGAACGCTATTTCTCTATCAATATGGTACTCCTACGACCTACAGGGCTTAAAGCCAAAATAATCAACTTCAGATTTCTTTTTCGGGCTAGAGAAGTTGTTTTAAATTTTTGGTTAACCATACTTACATACATATGAAAGCAGTCAAATCATTCATTAGATGTGTTAACTTATATCTTCTACGCGTATATAAATAAAAATGAATGTTTGTATGTTTGTCCTCTATGCGTTCCTAAACAATTGATCCGATTGTGATGAAACTCTGATGGATTATTCCGTATACGCCTGCTAAAGTTCCTGGCGCAAAAACAGGATTTTTCTTTAGACGTTTGTCTTTTATACGTTTCTAAACCATTCGAGCTTAGAAACAGACTCAAGCGAAGCCAGGATAATAAAATTAATTCTATAAAATTAATATTTATTGTATTACCATATTTATCCATCTTTAAATGTGTGTAGCAAAAGAAGTTTTTTCAATATTTTATGGGAACTGTAAAAATAAACGTTGCTCATATAAAGAATTGTCGCCTAGATTTAACCGAGTGAATGGTATTATAAGTTTAGGCTTTAAACGATCTAATGGTACAACTTCTAACTTCCAGGGTAATGCAGCAGGCGGGAGAGTGGTACAAACAGAATAAGCAACTGAAGAGACGAAGTACCGCGCTCCTGCACGCTCTACCTGCTACGGTCGACATCGACCTAACCGATGCCAATGATGCAGGTGAGGACTTGTTTGTTTTAACATGATTTTGTTAGATTCAGTACTTTGTAAATCAAATCTTGGCAGTTAAGTTTAACCTTTTTTTTATATTGAGAAATGCATTTGGTTACATGGGACTCACCGGCTAGAAAAGCCAGTATTACCTACTAAAACCCAACAGAACCTCCCCCGTCTTAATGGGCTGTATCGCTTACGCACTCAACCACGACGCCGCGGCCAAGGTAGGCCTGCCGAAGCAGACCAAAATAGCCATGAGATTGCTCCACGTGCCACTCTGCTATCAGAGAAATACCAGGAGCAACCTACATGGCACACCCTTATCTATCTCTATGTATATATTAGGCATTAGCAACAATTTATTCATTTATTCATTCACAATTGTTCTTATTCCAAGTTAAAGAAGGACAAGATAATAAACACTTTCGTATATAGTGCATGTACTCGTAATAGTATATAAATAATAAAATGCATACATGAATATTTAATGACATAGATTTATTTTCACTTTCCTTAAATAAGCTCAAAATTTTAACTAGAACTGTTTGTTCGTTATGTTTACCTGTTCTTCTTATATACTTTAATTTTAATAAGCTAACGTGCTTTTTATTTTGTCAAGAGTCAGTAAACTGTGAAGACTTAATTGGTTTATGCAAAGTTTTTATTTGTTTTTTGTTTATTTGTAACGATACGTTTTAACGTTTAGTATAAATGTCTCAGAGATGAAATATTTTCTCGCAGTAAAAATAACCTTATTTGTTGAACTGGATAACCAGCTATCATCATACCATCAAAAATTTTGATGTGTTCCCAGACAGACAGGTAGACAGACAGATATACGTACAGACAGACAGACTTTAACAGACAGATTCGGCCTCTGCATAGATAATAATTTATTTCAATAAGATTTACCAAAAAATATTTAATGTACAAATTCGACTCGGTTAGAATTTTGTTATATGTGTAGACTAAATATTGTTTGTTTCTCAATTAAATAAATAAGTAAGTATTTATAATACTAAAAAAGTATGTGTGTGTGCAATTCACACACGGTAGAAATGAAACTTCAGAAAAGTAACTTACAAGAGAATGAGATGAATATAGAGTATCAGAAGTACGGTAGTTGTAAGGTTTATTTTTTTAATAATATTTTTACCAAGTTTAAAAGTTATTTTACATTTAATTTATTTTATTATTTTTCACTAAAATAATTTATTAATAACAAGTTTTATTAATAAAACAAAAATCAAATGAGGTAGTTTATAATCGTATATTTAGCGTTAAAGTGTGTAAGCGATTTCCAAGTAGCGTGTGTGATGTGCTGTCATTGTGTGCATAAATAAATATTATGTTTTGTTATTTGGATTATTTGTTGACACTATAAATAGAGAAGCTAACTAAATTAGTAGCTAGGGTGTGGCAGTAGGCTAGTTTCGTTAAATATGTCACCCATGTCACCCAATTGAGGATGACACCCGTCACCCAATTGAAGATGACACCCGTCACCCGATTGAGGGTGACACCCGTAAGTTTACGATATGCAAATTTTTAAAAAACAAGTTTCTATTCCTTGCCCTGTGTGTGTTATTAATTTGAGAGTGACATCTGTGAAAATTTTGTCGTATCTTCAAACACGTCAAACCGTAAATAGGTAAAGTCATGTGTTATTGTTGCTTTCTTAAACTTAATTCGCATAACCGCTTAAACGTTCGGGAACAATGAAATTATTCATACATTGAGTCATGTTACTTCGATAAAGTCAAAGTCACTGAAGGGAAAAACCATGCGTAGTTAAACAGAGGTGTTTTTATTCTCAATTTTTTCAATTCATATATGTACTGTTCATTAATCTCATCAATTGTAATCGAGGTACAAAATTTCCCGCAAACAAAACTTAAAAAAAAACTCGTCTTTCACCTATCTACATACTGGCTGAAAAATATTTTGTATTTAATAAAATCCAAATCCAATCCAATCCAAGGTTGCCTAATGAAATATGGGAACATGGGAATAACAATTTGTTTAAAAAAATATACTTTTTTATTTTTATTTATTATTTCAATTGGCATTATTTGAATTTAGGATACTTAGAATCATATTTAATAAAATTTCATGACACACGTTTATCTTTGTTGCAACTTCTTTAATTTGATCCAAACATCTTCATGTTGCTCTTTTAAATGTGTAGAATATTAAGAGAACAACTCTATGCGCACTAGCTCTTATACCATGCAATGTTCATGATCCATGAAATTTTTGGCCTTATTTAGTACAACTCTGGTCGTTAAATGCTTTATTCATTTTATTTTCCAACTACATTTTATCATTTAAAATTTTGTATTTTATACAGTGTTCTGTGTTACTAATTCTTCTTAGCAAAATTATATCCTGAGCTCATGGCAGTATTATATGAATCCCACAACAAATATATTTTAGGAGTTATTATCCAATTATATATTCTACTAATGTTATAAATGCGAAAGTTTGGATGGATGTTTGTTACTCAAGCACGCCAGAACGGCTGAACGGATCTCGATAAAATGTGGCATAGAGATAGATTATAGTCTGGAATAGTACATATTATTCTATACATATACATATAGAGGAAGAGCCCGTGAACGCCAGACCTTCGTCATTTTATAAAGGCTGAAAGTTTTTCAGCGCATGCTCCCAACACAGATAAGAACGATGGACCATTATGAAGTTCAGGCTATGGGGGCTTTGGCAGGTACACGGTACTAAAGGTATGCAATATTTTCTTAAAAATGCCTCCCAACTTGTTTGGAACATATTTCATGGTATGTAATAAATGTTATGCTAGCAGTCTTATAAATCATCTAATTATTACGCAAGTATTATATATAAAAATCAGCTTTTATACTATAACGTAAGTAGAATTATGATTTCATGAAAAGGGTGTCTGGCAAGGGTTTGCCACAATGTTAAGTGTCTGGCATTGAATGACGGGATTTTTAATAATATTCTGAAGGTAATACCAAAAAATCACACTTTATTATTTGACGAAATTAGAACGGTATTTTACACACCTTTAGTACCGTGTACCTGCCAAAGCCACCATAGCCTGAACTTAATAATGGTCTATCGTTCTTATCTGTGTTGGGAGCATGCGCTGACAAACTTTCAGCTTTTATAAAATGGCGAAGGTCTGGCGTTCACAGGCTCTTAGGCCAATAGTATTCTATAATTGACAAATCAAAATTTATCAATGCGTGGAGAATAGAGTGTGAATTGAGTGAATTACGTGCAACATTTAACTTACTATACTTGAAAACTATTCTTATTGCCTATATTACTGAGAAATAATCGATACTATTCAAGCAATATATGTCGACATATATAACAATCGATTATTCTATGTAGCATTAGCGAAATCGTCCAAGGTAAGAGCCGTGTCTTCATTATGAAAGACGTACTATGTACGTGATATTTTCACAAATTTACACGTTACAGATTAGATTTAATGGTTTAATTTTTTAAATATGCGCCGTCAACGTGATACTAAGGGATCATATCATTCTGATATATTAATGATCCACATTTGCCCTTGTGATGTAAGCTGAATATCCTAGTATACACCCTATTATATCTTCCATCTTACTACACTCATCTGTGTAATCCTTTCCAGCATCAGACACGAGTAGCAACGAAGAGGTAGAGTTCCTCAAGCGTACAGTGAGTGAACTCAGCGAGCAAGTAGCCACCCTGCAGACCGAAGTGAACGCGGCCCGGCTACACGAGTTCGAAGCCCACGAACTAAATGTACAACTTACACAGGTATGGAAACGTACAGATGTACACACAGATATTAATTATATCAGGTAGCTTTAATCTGAAAATAATAATATTTTCTTCACCGATTTCGGGTACTCTCAAATTTCCTTGGGACGATAATATGATACCGGCGAAATTACGTGGTTTCCGGGGTAAGCGTAACACACCTCTAATTAACCAATTCCGTTGTAAATGAGATTTTCTTTACAGAAAACCCCAGTAACAATACTTGGTTCGACTCAGGACTCGAACACAGGACCTCCGAAATTGCAGCTGTACTGTCTGAAAATAATAGCGACAATAAATTAATGCTTCTCACCGTATTTGATAAAAGCCAAAGATATATATATCTTAAGATTTAAAAAATAATTTACCTGGCGGGGAATCGAATCCGTCATTTTATAAAAAAATATGATCTATTTAGAAAGTTTAACGTCTAGATGTTTTCCAATCCAACATTTTTTTCCCAATTCACTTAAAGTCAATTAATATGCATAAATTCTAGTCAGTACCAATTATTTCCAGGAGTTGGAGACAGAACGGGAGAAGACTGTCCAGCAGACTAAGGAATTGGAAGAGTTACGTAAAGAGCTGGAGCGACACCATCGCGTGTCCAAGCTACTGCTGGATGAGATGGCTGCTCTCAAACATGATGCTGATAAGGACCGGGAGTTGGCTTTGACGTGAGTGATAATCACTACATAGTATAAAACTGTTCTTCTGTCCCTATGTATGCTTAAATCTTTAAAACTACGCAACGGATTTTGATGCGGTTTTTTTAATAGATAGTGATTTAAGAGGAAGGTTTATATATATAATACATATATATTATAGTAAAGAAAAGCCGAGAAATTCAAAGATTTGTATTTCATACTAACCGTTAAAACGTAAATAGACAATCTATTAAAGAGATAGACTTTTGTCAAAAAGTGTGGCAAAAAGGTTGCCACTTTAAGTTTGGCCGACTTCTAAAAGATGATTTTGTTTTATATATTATCTTATGCGATATCCTCTCCGATTGTAATTCAAATTTCGGGGGTTTATTATTTTTTTAGTGGTCTGTAGTCTAAAGGCAAAAACCGAAGTCTTATAATTTTGATCAATCTGTCCGTTTGTCCGTAAGTCACAATCATTTTACTCGGATACTATTAAAGGTGGACTAAAATTTGCGTAATGATGTTGTCTACATCATTTGGTATTCAAATTAGAAGAAGGTCAAGGTCTTGTTATTTTGTCTGCAAAACCACAGTATTACGGATTTATTTTGATTTTTGATTCCCGACGTTATAAATGTTTTACAACAATCATGGTCACGAGAACCAAAAATCAAAATAAATCCACTCAAAAATCCGATAACATAGTTCTTTTTAACCGACTTGAAAAAGGAGGAGGTTCTCAATTCGACTACATGAATATCTAATAGATTGAGAGATATGATTAGGTATGAACTTTAATATAGTTAAAAATAAAAATTAATCAATTTGTGATGTATTTTACGTATCGGGATATATTACATTTGCTTTGCTTTGCATCGGCTGGCTCCGACTTCAAAAATATCTGATTAGGTATTTATTTTAAATGAAAACCCCCGTTTAGTTATGTTTTACATTTTAGTGCCTGGAAGTGGGTTTTTATCTTTTTTTAAAGTTTTTATTAAATGTGAAATCCATACTAATATTATAAAGGTGAAAGTGTGTTTGTTTATTTATTTGTCCTTTTTTCACGTCGAAACAGAGTGACGGATCGGCGTGCTATTTTGTGTGTAGTGTGCGGATAGTCAGGGGGCTGGAGAGTGACATAGGCTACTTTTTACCGCGGGAGATTATCTCATTCTCATGGGAAAACACGTTATAATACAGCCCAAAAGATTATTTATGATCAAAATTATTTGAAATATGGTATTAATGCTCTTCAATATAAGTAAATAAATATGTGTTTTAGTATTTTTCGAAATTCATACCATAAGGGGTTTAATTAGGGGATGAAAGTTTGCGTGAAAGCTACCTCCTTAAACTTTTTTGTAGTTTTACCGCGAGCGAAGTCGCGTGTTCTGCTAGTATCAGCATAAATGTAAGAAACTGCAGTAATTGTTAAGATATCTTCTGGGTTTCCGCCAGGTACAAGTCGGAGGCGCGCGACGCGACGAAGCGCGCGACGGTGCTGGCGCACCGCTCGGCGCTGCTGCTGGGCGAGCTGGGCGAGCTGGGCGCCGCCGGCCGCCTGGGCCTGCTGCTGGCCGAGGTGGACAGCCTGCGCGACGCGCTCGAGCTGCAGGCGCTGCGCCACCGCGACCAGCTCGAGGACCTGCAGGCACGTGCACACACACACACACACTCGACCTAAACCGACAACTGGTCCGCTTGGTATTTAAAAAATGTAAACGATATTGATTAGGAACATCATGATCACTTTCACTAAATATGAAATCCAATATGATTTTTCATTAATCTCGAAAATCTGAAATAAAATGAAGATTAATATAATAAGCGATATTATTATTACAAATAAAACATCATTATTATTTCGCTGACTGTACCAGTTAGTGTGAGTTATGACGGAGGCAATTTGCAAACGATAGCTTTCAATAAAGCAACATTATTTATAATTCCATTTTTAATCTGCGCGAGTTATGTTTGTTTCTCTTTTCTAAATCCCATTCTTTATCCGTGCGAGTTATGTTTATTTTCTGTATAAATAAAAATAAATCTCTAATTGTGTTGCTAAGCGCAAAACACGAGAGCAACTGGGCTGATCCGGTTATTTTTTTATCCAAATATTCTCAAAAGTCCGAAGGAGGTTCCTATGAAGAGAAAAATTGGAAAAACTGCCCAGAAACACATAAGACACCATTTTTCTAAACAGTCCTGGTACACACTTAATTTGACAGAACGAGGTTTGTCGGGTCAGATAGTTTAAAAAAAAATAATAAATAAATAATAATAATAAAATGAAGGTATTCTAATAATCATTATTTATTTTCATCCCATAGTTAAAGTTAGCAGAAAAACAAGAGGATACAGATATATTCTTGTGGGAAGAAAAGATAAAGTTAGCTGAAGAAGACGCGCAGAAAGCTCTAGAACGAGCGGAAAGAGCGGAGAGGAAGTTAGCCGAAATAGAGAAGAAACCGAAGAAATCCAACCTTATGTCCAGAATTAGCTATTTTGAAAATGGCGGCAATGAAAAGAAAGAGAAGATATTGGATGTCAAAGTCAAAGAAGATGTTGTAGAAGAGAAGATAGTTATAGGTAAAATTTTATTTACAATATGTTAAATACTAGCGACTCACCCTAGCTTTGCTCGGGTTCGTCCCTAGACACGTTGTAACTGTTGGTATGGAATAAATAGACTATTATATAATACAGGTATGATGAGTTGTTGTGAGTTGTATTATAACGTTTTTTCCCGCGGGAATGAGATAATCTCCCGCAATGAAAAGTACATGTATGTATGTTACACTCCAGCCCTCCAATTATCTCCATACACAAAAAAATTCGACGTGAAAGAAAGACAAACAAACAAACACACTTTCACATTTATAATATTAAGTATGGAAGTTTGGATTTAAAATGTCAAATATTTGCGTAAATCTTAAAATGCATTATGTATTCCAATATTGAATAAATAAATAATTTAGGGCTTAGCTAAGCTAGCCAAATTTTAAAGTTTAAAATATATAGTGATTCTATGAACTTAACGAGGATATGAAGACAACCATGTTGATCTGAACTGTAAAAGTCGATAATTGCATATCTTAATCGCATGACGATTTCTTATTGATTTATCAATAAATAATTATGTTCTTAGTTATTTGGTTATATTAATGACTAAACAAACTTAAACAACATCAATAAGGCAGATTAACATCAATTTTCCCCTTTTCTTATATGTATATTTTATTTCAGAACCGCAACAGGAACCACCAAAACCACAAGAACCATTACCTGAACCGGAACCAGAACAGCCATTACCCCCACAACCCTCACCAGTACCTCCCTGTCCACCTACCATGCCTCCCCCTCCTCCACCTCCCACAATGCCTCCTCCACCCCCACCACCGCCACCCCCCATGGCATTTAAACCACCCTCCAGTGTAGAGGATATGGCGGACATGCTCGCTAGCAAAGGAGCGCAATTGAAGAAGACTAAACAAAATGGAGGTACGTCTATAGTGTTACCAGTCTACTAATCCATATAGCCTAGTTCTTAGAATGTTCGTAATGAAATGAATTTTTTTCAAATAGACTACAAGCACTTTTGAATCGTCAATTTAAAGTCAAATCAGTGTAGTCAGTCCGTAAGGAAACTACCACCGGCTCGGAAAGCAGTTCTGCTGAGAAGAGCCTGAGAGAAACGAGACAGCTGCTATTTTAAATATCGAAGTTACATCAATAAACATATTACAGATAGGCCGCACAACATTGTTTTATAATTTTTTACAATGTTTTATATGGCAGTCGGTAGACGGCTTTCGGTTGACAGAGTGCGGAGATATGTAGGCGGCGCACGCGCACGTTATTTTTGCAATTATAGTAAACTGGTTTTTGGGAGAAATTTTGGAGTTCTCCTTGGTGCTCAAACGTGGCCATGGCTTTGACTTCTGATATGTTTGCCATAAATTGACATATTTTAGACAATCCTTGCATTTCCGTTAACATTAAAGATTTATTTATAATAATAAATATCGTATACAAAATATTCTTCATACTTTTTTAATAGTTTATAATCAATATTTTAAAAAGTACCAATTTATTGTGTATGTGTGTGTGCGTATATGTGTAACAATATGTAGTTGGTGACTTTTCATGACACTAACTCACACTGCCCGTCTAAAAGTGTTATAATTTAAAATGTAAAGTTCGTTACAAGTGTAATATAATGTATTGTTCAAAATTTTTATCTATTATTTTCTTGATAAATGTGTACAAAAACTGTACTTTGACAAGCTCAATTTAAGATTTTTATCCAAGTAACTTTAGTATTAGTATGATAAATAAAAAAAAATGACTGCTATATTAAAAAAAACGCAGAAATTTCTAGAAAAATTCTTTCTTTTCCAGGCGGTGCAATAGACGCGATAGTGGACCAAATCAAAGGTGGCAAATTCCAACTTAAGTCCAGAGAGCAGAATTTCATGGAGAAAAAACCTAAAGACGAACAGCCTGAAGCTGTAAAGGAAATGTTACAGATCCTTGGCACTTTGCGCAAGAGACGGAATGTGAATAGGCCCAATATAGTGCCGGATGAATGATGACTGAGAGGTAGAATTTTATTTAAAGTGTCATAATTAAAGTTCTATACAGTTCATTCATTCATTCAAACAATCATTCATTCATTCGTTCGTTTATTCAAATTAGGTCTTGCTTGTTGTTTAACTTTAAACAAAGGTTAAGTTAATAATCAATATGGATAGATCAGATAAATGAAAAAGAACGATTCTGAACTTTTTTAATTTGATATGGAAGTAAATGTTTTGTTTATTTGTTCGTATTGGATGAATTAATTCATTTGAAATAATGATTGTGTAATTTGTTAAATGCGTTTTGAGTTTGAATTTAATTAATTTCGTTGTAATATTATGTCGAAATATACCTGTCGTTATAAAGCATTTTTCTTAGATATTAAGTTTTTTTTAGTATTCATATCATACAAAAATACTAATTAAATTTCCTAAGTCGGTTTTTCCTTCGTTTGAAGTATATGTGCAAAAGATTTAATAAGAAAATATTTTTCTATGTTTTTTTTTATATTAGAAAATATTGTATTGCAAACGCCTGATAATGAGTTGACGTGAGTTTGTAGCGTCCAGATATGTTTAGAAATGGTTTTGTAATGAAAGAAAGAATGTATCTATTATTTTTAATTTGTACTAAAAATTATAGATACTATTATAATTATTATTTATACCATATCCGTTAGTACATAGAACAAAATTTTAACTCCATATTGTAGCTTTGTATACTGACCATTACGTCAAAATTTTGTTCCTTGTGGTACTGCGTGTGTGATACTTCCTCATTATGACAGAAGTTCCATAGCAGTTATATTATGTCGAATATATATATATATATATATATATATATATATATATATTAACTGCCTCGGTGGTGTAGTGGCTAGCATGTACGGCTGCACATCCGGAGGTCCTGGGTTCGAGTCCCGGGTCGGGCCAAGTTTAGTTATTGAGTCTTTCTGTATAGTAAGTCTCAGTAACTGCCCGGAGTTGGGAAGTTGGCGGTGTTTCACCCCCGTGCCTCGGAGAGCACGTAAAGCCGTCGGTCCTGCGCCTTAACTCTCACCGGTCGTGTCGAGTGGTCGTCCCACCGGAGTATGAGAGTGATAGGAATAGAGAGTGCACTTGTGTCTGCGCGTACACTTGTGCACTATAATATCTCCTGCGCAGTTGGCTAATCTCAATGAGATTGGCCGCCGTAGCCGGAATCGGCTAGGAGAACATCATATATATATATATATATATATATATATATATATATATATATATATATATATGATCTTTGTAGCCCCAACAATCTTAAGATATGATATTCATTTTTGCTATTTTAAACCTTCTAATGGTCGACGATAAACATTTGTTGCAAAAACTTACGAACTTTCTTCATTATGAGGTTATTTTACCAAGATGAAATCGCCTAAAAAGGAGAATAAGTAAATATAAAAAATGTTGGTACTTTTTTAGATTTACGTGAATATTTGACATTTTCAAATATAACTATCTTTTCGGATTTTTCGCGGATTCACTTTGATTTTTCATTCCCGACGTTTCTAATGCTTTACAGCAATCATGGTCTGGCTCGCCCGTGTTGTATGGAGTCTCAAGGAAGATAGTTTTATTTAAAAATATTCATTTGAAATAATGATCTTTGCATAAATAATTATATTTTTTAATATATACATACATATATAAAAGAAAAAGTGTAATAAATAAATATTATCGTCAGATGCACAAAAATATATTTTAATAATAGTGTTTATGAAGATTATGATAATGTTAGAAAAATTATAAAGTACACAAAAAATGTTGATTAATGTACTGGCAATACATACATTAAGGTATTTATAAAAAAAAACAAAAAACAATTGAATTTAAAATATCGATATTGATATTTAAATTAAATGAAACAAGACACAAGGCCAATTTTGTCTCAGTGGAGGGTACATTAAATTAAAAGCATTTTTATGAATAACAATGCGATAAAAATATAAATTACAAAATGTACATAAAATTATAGATAGTTAATATACGACAAATTGTCATTGTATGCATCCGTTTATTTCACAGATTGTTTGATTATTTAAAATGGAGGGGAAAAAATATAAATTATTATATTTTACTACTTATATATTCTACTACTTTTAGTCACTTTAAAGATAGTTTTCAATTTTCTATTGCCTGATATTAAAAATTTGATTTATATAGTGTTGCCATTAATATTAATTATTGTATAATTTAGTAATAATTTAGAATTAGAAGTAAGTTTTAATGCGACGATATGAAATGTGATATTTTTAATAGTATTCATACTATTTAGTTTTATTTTACTGTATTTTTTATCTGTAATAAAGTGTAATAATTATACTCGTGCCTTATGTGAATTTATAATAATAAATAAATATCGTATACAAAATATTGATAATGATTGATATTTTTTTTAATAGTTTGTATTAAATATTTTAATTTTCAAAAAATGTTTAAAGTTATTGTTAAAAAAAGCTAACTTTGAATCATAATCAAAATAAATAATTTTAAAAGTTTGCTAATTCTTGACAGCAACACTCAAACATTATGTGTCAAAATTATCTTCTGGCACGTTTTGAACATATTAAAAAGAAAGAAAGTGCCTTTTGTATTTTAGTGAATATTTGAATGTTGGCCGGTCAGTTACCGTCGGTGCCATTGATGTTCTCTCACGTGACATTTTGTAGTATTACATATTATAAGGATGTATATTCATTAAATTTTTTACTATAAACTGTTTTTTTTTTACTGGCGACCAACGACGGCGGTCATCGACCATAATACCATTTCGAATGGTTTTCCTAAAAGATAAATAACAAAGTATTGAATTGAATGATATTGAGGTTCTGTCAAAGATACATAGTATTTTATATTTAAATCGGTCTCTTAGACATTCTCCAAAAATTAGCATGCGCAGACAAAATAAAGTATGTGTTCATTTCTAATCAGAAAAACTACCCATAACTCCAATTAAGGTCATTATAAATCAAAAAGTGGCGCGTTTTAATAAACACTTTCAAACACTTCTACGCCTTGAGAGGTTCAATTTCCAAAAATCCTTTCTTAGCGGATATATACTGACTGAGAAATTTATCTGCCTTTATACTTCCTGAGATTTTATTATTAATTTTGGATTGAGTCATATTCCGCTTTTATATACGCAACAAAGCCTACTATATCTTTTGTGTCGACACAGCCAAGTTAAACTGAGATTAGATACTAAGGTTCTTCTGTATAATATTAAATATATGTTTGTTTTTGTATGTAATATTGTTTACTGTTTATAATAAATAAATTAGTTAGAACATTAACACACAGCACCATCTAGTTCCATAGTAAGCTACGAGACTTCTGTTATGGATACCAGATAGTTGACACACTACACAAATATAACTTTTAAGTACATACATATTATAAATATAAACACCCATGACTATAGTACAAACATTCGTGCTGATCACACAAATGAATGCCCCCAGCGGGACTTGAACCCGCGACCGATGGCACAGCAAGTAGGATCACCACAAACTGAGCCAAACGTGTTGTCAATGTATTATGTATTTTATCGCTCAATAAATTATTATTATATAGTTGCCAATGGCTCTTTTACGACTCGAGAGACTCATAAAAAAATAATTAATGAAAACTCCTTTTTTTATCTATTTATGTAATAACTTAACAGCTTCTATAGCTTTGAGAAGCCTTTAAAGTCTTCTAAAGTTTTAGCTACAAGCTTCTGTAAGAAAAAATGAACTAGCAAGCTTAGACAAAATGCAAAATGCATTTTGTAATTAACGTTAATAAAAAAATAACTACATATTATAATGTATAAATTATTTAAAAAAAACAGTAAAAGAGATTAAAAAACCATAAAAATTGATTTGATAAGTCTATTTACATTTTAAAACTATTTTACAATATAAATTAACAATAACGTGTAAAGACAAATAAAAACACTGGAGTATGTTACGTAATCCACTCGAACTACTTTTAAGTAGAAGTTCTATATTGTCTTCAATATCCACAAAATCTCTGTAAATTATTAATAAACAGTTAATAATTAATATTTAAATAATATTGGGTAAAATCTGGAATGTTAGTTATTGCTTCCTAATACAAACTTTCATCCCCATTTTCACCCCCTTAAAGGATGATTTCCGGAATAAAAAGTATCCTATGTCGTTCCTATGGTCGCAAACATTCTTCTTACCAAATTTCATCTAAATCGGTACAGTAGATCCAGAGATGACCCCCTACAACGTCACAAACACATAAACTCACAAACTTTACCTCTTTATAATATTACTATAGATTATAATTAATATACATAAATAATTACTTATAATAAACTACCTTGGTGGCCTAGTGGCTAGCATGTACGGCTGTAAATCCGGAGGTCCTGGGTTCGAATACTGGGTAGGGCTAAGTTTAATTACTGAGTTTTTCGGAGATTTCGGAGTTAGGAAGTTGGCGGTGTTTCACCCCCGTGCCTTTGAGAGCTCGTAAAGCTGTCAGACCTCCGCCTTAACTCTCACCGGTCGTGTCGAAGTATCGTCCTATCGGACTTTCAAAGGAAAAGGAATAGAGAGTGCACGTTGTGTCTGCGCTATAATATCTCCTGCGCAGTTGGCTAGTTTCAGTGAGATTGGCCGCCGTGGCCGGAATCGGTCAGGAGAACAAATAATATACATAACACATAACATAATTAAAATGGCAGTAGCCCAGTGGTGATGTGCTCTCGCGGAAAACTAAAGGAAGCGGGTTCAAATTCCAGGTCTTGCATCTCTGGTTTTCTATGTGCGAAAAATTTCTAATATGATTACCACATGTAATCCTAATATGGGAAGAAAAACATCGTGAGGACACTTGGATGTCGAAGAGAACCTAACAAGTTTTCGAAGAACATGTGAAGTCCGCCAATCCGCACATATCCAGCGTGGTGGGCTACGGACCACTAGTTTCTATAATACTGAGTTCAATTCTACACAAACTACTACTTGACACTAAGTATAATTCTTTGGAGATATCAATATACTGGTTTCATAGTAAATATAATTCTACAGCTAGCCAGCTTTCATCAGGTTTCAAAATAAAATAAAAATATAATTTAAAACATCTTTATTTGTGACATTAACAAGTGTAGTTAAATAGTGCAAAAATATAATTTATAAAAAAAAACAAAAATACAAAATTCACATTTCAAGAGGTAACAGTGAGGGACGGATTCATATTTAAAAAATGGGCGCACGGCAGAGTTTGGGTCAAGTACAACTTTCACAATTAAATATTATATTATGATGAAACATGAAAAAAATAACTATAAATAATATAATACTTAGGCGATCGGCATATTTTTATCTAAAAACGTATTTTTTAAGTTTCATCCTTGTTATATTATGTATAGCGTACAAAGCGGATAAAAACACTGGTCTTGATTTCCACGGCGCTACGTACGGGCTTGGAGGGCTACGATATTAACACATAAAATATCAACCAAAAATAATTTTCATTGATATCTTAAAAGTTAAATTCTAAACAAAAAATATTAATCTAATATTGTTAACAACAATATTTAGTTACAAATATCAAAAATTACTGCATAATATTGATTATTTGAAAGCGTATCCAGAGTGTTCGTGCAAAGCTTAAATAATTCAAAGTATTATTACTTACTAGCAACATGCGATTTGTATTGTACATTACAATAATTTAAACACAACCTAGATACATTACAGAAATAGCTAAAACACTCTTAAACAATTGACAACAAAACTACAATTCCATATTATTATCATATTATTACATAGTCCGTTCGAAGTGAGTCGCAAATAAAACTACATATTTTTTCTAATTTTTCTAAAGTTAATGAAATCCTATCAAAAACTAACAATAAAATTAAGTACTTTTTTGTAAGTTAAAGTGTTATAATTTATTTTAAGTATAATTTAACGACGGTAGAAAACAAATTTATAAATTAACAAAAAAACACTTATACTCACTTTGCTCAAAAAGTATTTACAACTGAATGTATAAGTTATTTAGGCTGATGTAAAATAATAAACCTTTTTATCTAAAAGTAATACTGGAGCACCCATAAAGGCTTCTACCATAGATTAGTTACAGCAATGTCAACTCTATCTGCATCTACATAGTTTACAAAATACAATAATTAGTAACTTAATCTTACAGAGAATATTGTCGAAGCTTGTCAACGACTGTTTTCTTGTTCTTCTTCAACCAGGCGATGTTAAGACGCGCATTCTCAATGCCTTGAGATACTGCGATTTTCGACTCGGAGAGGTACTTGGCGTTGTTTTCTTTCCATTCCAGGAACTGTATATTAATTATTGTAATTAAAACAGTGAAAAAAGGCACTATACAAATGCTAATTCGGGATAACTATTATTGTTTAATAAAACTAATCGGACTGCTAATATGAGTAAGAAAATTTGTAAGTTGTTTCTTCTTCGCGCTGAAACGGATGGACGAATTTGGATGAATTTCAGTACATGCAAAGATACAGTATGATCTGGAGTAACACACAATGTACTGTTATTCTTTTTTTTTTACAAAATTCAAGCAAAGAAATAGTGTTATATAATACTTGAAAAGCTAAGAAATTTAAAATCAAAACACACATTTGATCTTTAATAGGATCAAATCTGCTTGTACTAGTTTAGACATAGGCGGTTATTATGTTTCAATAATTCTTCACTTGAAATAGTGTTGCAGTTGTTGTACTCACCTCATTAAGTTCCTTGTCAGTAGTGAACTGATTCAATAACGCTTTTAGAATTCTACCCATAACTCTGTTCTGGCCGCGGAAACTGTAAAAACCAAAAATATAGTGACAGATATCAATGAAACCATTATTATGTATATAAAAACGTAACATTATATATTATATATATAAATAAAATACAGTAAATAAACATTTTGGTTATAATTGCAAGTATTAATCACAATTTTTATATTACTAAATTACTTGGTAATAGGATCGATTATTAAATATTAATGAAATACAAAATATTATTTAGGTAATTAAGACTCAATAAAGTAAAATATTACTTCTATTGGCATATCAATGACTGTATAATTTATTTTATAATATATAAGTTAAATCTGTTATAAATAATTTGTTGCTTATACTTGTGCATTTAAAGCGTTGATTTTTTATTTAATAACTCTACAAAAAAAACTTAATAGATTTCGTCAAAAAATGAGACATAAAAAGTCGTATATAACATACGCATTATGTAAATCCTCGATCCTGTTGTAGATGAAGTCCTTAGCTACGTAGTACCCGACGGTGGAGTGCACCACAGAACTTATTACACTGCCACCGTCCTGGCGACGGATTTCAGAACCATCCGTTACCGTCCACTCTAAATACCTATGAAAAGAAAATCAAATCTAGTACAAAAGTGGCAAACTGGTATGATACGATCTGCCTGGTGGTAAGCAAAATCGTAGAAATAACTAAAAATGCCTAGGATCTCAGGATCCGCAAATTGTAGATTTTTTTTATGGTATTCAGTGACAAACGAGCAGACAGTCCACCTGGTGGAAAGCAGTACCTGTCGCCCATAACACCTACGGTCCATGCACTTAGGTTTTATGTTACAAAAATACAGAACCGTAGGTGCATTGTCACTGTGAGGACTAAGATGATATGCCTCATGCCTGTAATTGCGCTGGCTACCTTATCATTGTGGCTTGGCGGGAGAAATACTCACTCCTCCGGCTGATACATGCTGTGCAGTAGATTAACGAGGCAGTTATTACCCTATTGATGGAGTTTATACACTATTAAGCAATAGCAGAAAATATATAGTTTTGTTGAGATTCCACTTAATTCACAATGTATATCACATGTAACATCAAGTATGACCGATTTCTCTTTTGGCTGTTGTCACAACTAAAAACAGCTGTTTACTACTTACCAACTACAGTTCTTATTGCTTTGTCGACTTTAGATGCTTAGAGCTATACATTCATAAACGTTACACACAGACTATAGTTCGAGCTCGAAGTTAGTTCTTCGGCCGATAGAGGATCTATTACCTGTCACTAGCTTGAAAACTAATAATTACAAGCGAGTCATCATCGCTTTACATTTCAACGGTTAGTATGAATATCCCACGGGAACCGTACATTTTTTCGGGATAAAAAGATAAGTAGTCTATGTGCTATTCTAGACTATAATCTATCTCTGAGCAAAATTTCATCCAGATCCGTTCAGCCGTTCTGGCGTGATTGAATAACAAATATCCAAACATCCAAACATCCATCTAAACTTTGACATTTATAATACTAATAAGATGGGATGGGATATGTGCGAGTAGAATAAAAAGAGATGACTCACTGCGCCAGTATCCACACATCTCGCGAGCAGGCCAGTGCATACAGCAGTTGGTTTCGAGCTGCCGCCACGTTAGAGTTCCTCCGCCGGGCGAGAGCAAAGCGCCACTCTCGGACACCACCGCGCGCTAGCGCTACACAGTACACTGTGCGACGCAGATCCACGGGGATGCTGGTAGGATAGATGAAGAATATGATTTGTTATACTCGCTAACCAAAACGGGGCTCGAAACCGATTTAAAAAAAACGGTTATTTAATGGTTAATTCATCGCTCTTTTATCATAATTTTTTCCTTACACAAAAAATCATGAAAATCAGTTCACCAAAAAACACACTTATGAATTGAGAGATTCTTCTTTTTGCAATGATTTTTGAATCGAGTAATTTTTAAAGTTTAAGGTCATTCAAAAGTAATAAAACTCACGGATTGTTCTCATCGGGATTCTCAGTGTCCATCCACTGCTGGAACATCTGCATGGCGTTCTCTTCACAGCCCGCCACCTTCACTCGGCATGCCCATGAACTCGTCAATACCTGGTACGAAAATAATTATAGTTATAATTTAATTTTAAAACAGCAAATAATATTAAACATAACTAAATGAATCATGTCAATAATTTGCATAATGTTGTTATGACTTATCAGTCGCTTAAGAGGTAAAGAATGTAATCAACTCCGACCAACAGATATCATGTTATTTAAGCAAATCAATAGATGGCGCTATAACGAACGGAATTCAAATATTATAAGATGATGCAATACGGCACCCCCGCCGCACGCGCTGCCCGCCGGCCCGCTGTCGCGGACGGGAGGGGTAATTACTAATTAGTTATGTTCGGGACGCGCATTGCATTAGACCACGCCGACTCACTTACGCCGTTGTTTTAGATATATACTTACATTTTGTTAAAATCTATTCTGCACTCCATGTACAATAATAGTATGTAAATTAAAGTGTTAATTACCAGTTTTCGAATATCATTTCCCTTAGCTATAGCGCTTTATATGATTTTATTGTGATTTGAATTTTGACTACCTATGTTTTTATGTTTGAGGGATATTGGTATTAAGTCAAATAATCAACAACTTTTAAAATATGTATTTCATTAATAGAGATCAGTGAACAGCTGAGGATTTCAATGCAAGTTTTATTTATCATGTACATATTTTATATACACTAACCTGCATTTTAACACTATTTAGATCATCTCCATTGACAATTTTCTTAACGGATAAACCGCCGGCTTTTTCATAGGCGTTACTGATCAATCTCCTCATGAACTTCTGGAAAGCTCCATAGTCAGCTGTTCTCTTTAGAACGTTCTCGATTTTTCCTAAAGCATCAACACCGGTACTGAGTGGTGCATATTCTGTTTCACGTCGGAGGTAACTTGCGAGCCTAAAAAACATCACATTATTACTATTATTAATGGCAAATTTCTAATGTTTATGCGATACGGATAAAAATTATAATGGAGATATCTTGTTTAAACATTACTAATACTTTTTTATATTTTTAAATAGAACCATCTTTACGGAATTTTATTATGTTTAGTATTTTGACGCATTTATTTTGAATTTTGGTTCCAGACGCTTCGAATGCTTTACAGTAATCATGATCACGGGAGAGACTACCGTGACCATGATTGCCAATAATTCCGCGACTTTTATATAATACATATATATTAAACACATTACCCTCCTTTGCTTCCGCAGTCAGGTAAATATAGAAACAACTTTCATTACTTTTTTGTTTATCACATTGATGTTGAAGTAACCTACAGGTTTAGCCTATTTAAATAAAAACTAGAAAATCGCATAAATAAGTAACACAAATGTACTCAAATTGAGTACTTTTTTTTAAAGTCGATTAATAACATAAGACTCACTCCATAGTAGTTCCATAATCCAACTCGTTGTTCCAAGCGAGGGCGAATGCATCCGACAACAGTTGCACGCGACCCTCCATCGGGATCGTGGTGTACCTGTCGCTGGTTAACGTCTTGGTCAGAAGCTTCCAGTTGCGCTCGTCGTACTGTACGCGGTACGGAGCTAGATATAAAAATATTGTATCACATATGTAGAATCTAACTGAAATTTAACATTCACGCATCAAACTTCGTTATATCTCATGTACAAAATAATGCTATGTGGCAGTACTAGCCCAGTGGTAACGCGCTCGCTTGGGATTCAACCGTGTGAGGCAAGTTAAAATCCCGAGTCTCGCATCTCTAATATTTTCATGTGCAAATCATTTCCAACACGATTACTACTGCCTTATGGTGAAGAAAAACATCGTGAGGAAACCTGCATCTCTGAGAGAACCTAGCAAGTTTTCGAAAGACGTGTGTAGTCCGCCAACCCGAACTTAGCCAGAGTGGTGGACTATGCCCCCTCGTATTGAAGGGAGGGCCGTGCCCAGCAGCGGGACGATAAAACGGTCGTACATATGTATATAACAATATCTTTATTGCGTGATATAATATTTTTTTATATGACATTTCTTTTGTCTATTATGTGAATATTTTTATTTTTGTTCTTTACTATTAAACATCGTATTTAATTAACATTACTAAAAGGTTATTAGATTTTTTTTAAAGTTTGCTTGAAGTATATAAAAAAAATTACAAAACATTAAAAAATATATCGCATTTCTCGAACTTTTCGCAAGTACTGCCGTGTCCTTGCTAAATTCCTATCATTTTTTCTTTTTTCTCTTTTTGATTATTAATTTAATTATTATTTAATTTTAAAGAATTAATAACATTTTTGTTTATCTTAAATACAATAAAATTGTTATCCTTTTTAAATTTATTTATGAATGTTGTTATGGTTACACAAAGATCTAGCAGTCTGCTAAAAGCAGAGTATCATTAAGTTCCAGTTCTAGTCGGATATAGCAAAAAATTGCGAAAAATATAACAATCTACAAAAAAATAATACTCACCAATCATATTATAATTGAATAGCACCCACTCATCAGGCCCAGCCCCGTGCTCGAACCTGTGCTCCTGACCCACACCTTCATTCTCTCCTAACCACTGGACCTGTTGGCTGGAGGGATCCTCTTTCTGACAGAGCACGCTGAGAGGCACCCACCAGGATGATGTGGTGCGGGTGGAAGGGCTCAGGGAGAAGTATCTTTTCTATAATAATAGACACAAAAAGGAATATATAAACGAATGTTGTAATTAAATAATAATAAAGCTTGAATTTTAAGGTAGTAGAGTTTTAGTAGTTATAGATGACGGAAAAATGTGAAATGCCAAGTTATGAAAAGTATGTTTACTCTTTAGAAATATCCTTTTAGTTAGATTAAAAAAATAATTTAGACATCTTCGAGATTGGCAAATTAGCAGACATAGAGATATGGCACGGCAAGTCAAGACTATTTGAGAATTTGAAATTGAAGACCTCTCGCTTCGAAAGAATCGCTCAAGGAAAAATTTAAACTCCATCAGATAAAAATGTCAATAAGGATATTAGCTGATAATATTGCTATTCTTGTAAGGATTGAGGATTACAGAAACCCTACAAAAGAGTTTATTAAAGAAGAGGACATTGCCTCAAGTAGTTTGCGTAAAATAACTTGGGTTAATCTTGAACGACCGCCAAAATGTAATTAATTTGACAGGAATTAAACAAAGATTTATAATGGCTTACCGGTCATAACAGCAAAAATTTTTGTCGACAACAAATTATTCAAACAAGCAGCTATATCGCACAATCACAAGCGAATCTGACTTGCGCATAGAAGATTCTGTAGCATCAAACATTAAATTAAAGCTTTTAGGTGCATTCAATTTCTTTTTTCTCCTGGCTTCCTCATCCGATCAGCTCAATGATATCAAATTTTATAATATTTGATCCAAACCCAGATAAAGTTATAGCATCATGATTAGAAGAAGCAACTTAAAATAGACTGCCAAGATTTCATCACATAGCTATATATGTACAAGCTAATGTCATACCTGTGACAAAGTCAAGGAGTTGTCAGCATAGTCCCTGTTGACGGTGAGCAGCGGAAAGCCGGTCTGCTTGGTCCACGTGTCCATAACCTGCTTGACGGTGACGTTTCTGCTCAGGCCGTCATATTGCCTGTTGACAGCTGTCAGCTCTGCCCACAGGTCGTCTTGCTCCGCGTTGGAGTACGAGTATTTCATTAGATAGCTGCAATCGATATTTGTTTGAATAATATTATAACTACGAGTAAGTAACGCATACATTACGTCGTATCAACATCCGTATTCGATACAAAATCATATTGATACGTCTCAGGACTCGAATCTAGATTTTATTTCTCAAATTAGGCTGGTAGTTTCTTAGATAAACGCTTGTAAGCAAAGACAGCTTGTATTCAGCCCTTTTTAACGTCCCACTGCAGGGCACGGGCCTCCCTTCAATACGACGGGGATCAGGCCATAGTCCACCACGCTGGCCAAGTGCGGGTTGGCGGACTTCACATGTCTTTTGAAAACTTACTAGGTTCTCTCAGACATGCAGGTTTCCTCACGATGTTTTCCTTCACCGTTAAGACAAGTGGTAATCATGTTGGAAATGATTCGCACATGAAAATATCAGAGGTGCGAGACTCGGGATTTGAACCCGCTTCACTCGGTTTCCCAAGCGAGCGCGTCCCCACTGGGCTACCACTGCCTATACGCAAAGCATACTTTATAATAATACTAGTATAGATTAATTTACTATGAAAATGTATACACACAGTGAATATATATATATATATATATGTATATATATATATATATATATATATATATATATATATATAATAAATTGATTACAAGTTTACACTACGCTTGCATTTTTATAAGATACTAGAAAACTATAAACATTTAAAAATGTTTTAATAAGGTCCAAAGTGCCAAAAATATAGTAAGTACTAGCATTGCCCGCGGCTCCGCCTGCGTTCAGATGACTAAAAACCAAATTCTTAAGTTTTACATATTAGTATACTCTTACATTGCAGTTTTTGTATTTTTTCTCAGAAATAAGATATTTTCCCGCAGTAAAGTATCCTATATGTTGACCCGGATAACCAGCTATTACCATATGAAATTTCATCAAAATCCCTCCAGTGGTTTTTATGTGATGCGATAACAGACAAACGGACATACAGACAGATAAAAATTCTAAAAACTATAGATTCGACCTCTGTATCGATAATAATGTTTATTTCAATAAGATTTTCCAAAAATATTTAATGTACAGATTCGGCTAAGTTACAATTTTATTATATGTATAGATTTGAACACGGGCGGGGCCGCGGGTAATTTAGTAGAAATTCTAATAAAATCATAGAAAGGTCTTATCTGTACATTCAATTTTTGGGAATTAAAACTACGTATTTTAAAAACACATGGCGACATCTATTGACGAATATCAATATAACACAAATAAATATTTATTAAAATAATTAATAACTATAGTGAATAAAATAGCGCTATTGATATTTTTTAAGATAAGCGATATTAAATAGTTTTCGCTATATTTATTGTCATCTTGCTAAAAAGTTTATAGTATCATCGTGGTTTTATTCTAACCAGTTTTTGTATTTTTTCTCAGAAATGAGATACTTTTTCGCGGTAAAAAGTATCCTATATGTTGATCTGGATAACCAGCTATCACCATACCAAATTTCATCAAAATCGCTCCAGTGGTCTTTCCGTGATGCAGTAACACACAGACAGACAGACAGACAAAAATTCTAAAAACTATAGATTCGGCCTCTGTATCGATAATAATGTCTATTTTAATAAGATTTTCCAAAAAATATTTAATGTTAAGTAAAGTGTAAAGATTCGGCTTAGAATTTTATTATATGCATAGACGGTAAAGAGCTGGAATTTTTAAGAGCAAAAATTTATATTACCTATATTAGCTTTAGAGCCGTTAGAACGTATTGTGGTTATGTCTAGAACGATTCTTGTTGTGTAATGGTTGACATTTGAATTTGAAATTTCAACAGTCTTTCAGTAATTAAATTACATTGAATTTTAACGGCTCAATAAAATTTTCTAATAATAATTAGTACTCACTTATGCAAGGCCTTCCTAAAGACATCCTCCCCAAGGAACATGCGCATCATGCGTATGAGTGCCGCGCCCTTTAAGTACGAGATCGTGTCGAATATCTCTGATATGCGCTTGGGATCGTCCAATGGCATTGACACCTAAATAATCAAATATATTTTTTAATAACAATAAAAAATCTTCACTGTTATACTAGTGAAATATAATAATCTACTGTATCTGGTAAAAAGACAACTCACCGGATGAGAAGACTCCAAAGCGTCCAAAGAAAGGACAGATAAGATGTCGTCTATACCCTTGTTCACTTCCACGCGCCACTCGGGCTCAACGGCCGCCATACCCACTGTGCCCATAAATGTGGCGAAACCCTCGTTGAGCCAGAGATCAGACCACCAATTCATAGTCACCAGGTTGCCAAACCACTGGTGGGCCAACTCGTGGGCTACGACCTGAGGACACAAAGAAATAGTTTTATTGGTAAATTAGCTGTTATATGTAATTTTGTTCAAGTGTGTATTTTTGATAAGCACATAATCAAATCTAATTAACTGAATCAAATGAATATTGTATACACGTTTTTTTATCAACTAAATAATAAAAATAAATAAATTAGTAATACTATAATTACTGCGATAAAACTTATGGCGAGCCAATATCAGATGAATTTTGGTGTAAATTAAGGATTAGAAGAAGCCGCCTGTATCATTGAATGAAGCATCTCACCTCAGCTACTCGTTCCTTATTAAGGAAGGACGACTCTTTCTTGTCATACAACAATGCCGTTTCCCTATAAGTTATCAACCCCCAATTTTCCATAGCACCGGCCGCGAAGTCGGGGATGGCGATCATGTCCTGCTTCGGAAGAGGGAAGGGCACGTTGAACCATTTCTCGAAGTGGGATAGCACTTTCGGACCTATTTGGGCCGCGTAAGATGTCTGAAAAAATAACAGGTGATATTTCAGTAATTGTTATGAGAAAGACTTTTTTTTAATTGATGTTACGGATATTTTTTTTGAGAGTAGATTATTTATTAAGATTTTCAAAATAATTTAGATTTTCTGAAAATTAAAAAGATTAAAAAGCTAACTAATTTTATTGTTTGTTAATCTCTGTATTTTACTTATAAGTACAATAAAGAATAGTATATAAAAATTCCCATAGTTGTTAAATGGTGCTCTGCATCCCCAGATATCTCAGAAGCGTGACAATTTAAAGTACCATATTACTGATATATTTTCAATATACACCAGATGCGCAATTTTTTTTGAAAAAAATATATGGCAGAAAGTGACTAATGCCAGCTTCTATAAAAACATTTGGAATTCCTTCTTCTTTCCCAATGAAATTCTTTCTTTCCCAAGCCTGCATACCCACAGTTATACATGTAATTATATATTGTGACATTACCTGATCGATAGCATCACTTCGGGCCCATATTCTGAACTTAGTATGAGATAGTTCTGGCGGACTCTCCACGTAGGCGAAGGTGGACACAACGTAAGCCACTAGGTAAGTTGACATCGGCAATGATTTGTCGAATTGGTCCCATTTGAATAATGATTTATCCTTCCTAAAAGAAGATGGACATTTAAGTATTTGATGTTCTCCTAGCCGATTCCGGCCATGGCGGCCAATCTCAATGAGATTAGCCAACTGCGCAGGAGATATTATAGTGCTCAAGTGTACGCGCAGACACAAGTGCACTCTCTATTCCTATCACTCTCATACTCCGGTGGGACGACCACTCGACACGACCGGTGAGAGTTAAGGCGCAGGACCGACGGCTTTACGTGCTCTCCGAGGCACGGGGGTGAAACACAGCCAACTTCCCAACTCCGGGCTGTTACTGAGACTTACTATACAGGAAGACTCAATAACTAAACTTGGCCCGACCCGGGACTCGAACCCAGGACCTCCGGGTGTGCAGCCGTACATGCTAGCCACTACACCACCGAGGCAGTTAAGTATTTAAAAAGTTAATTACAGACATATTTAAGCAAAGCTAAAATTTATCGCGAGTTGTGAAATAATACGAAACATTTTTTCACACACTAATTCCAGCAAAAATCTATCATATTTTTTAAAGAAAACTCACTTGAATTTCTCTCCTATACTTTGCCACGGCCAATGTTCTTCAAGGGCACTGAAAAAAGAATCTTGTTATTATAACAACATGTAATATAGACACTAAACAGGCTGTTTGTTAACTCATGCAAAGTTAATTTTATAACCCAGACAAGAACAATACTACCGTGCGTTGTATGTCCATCTCAAAGTCTACATATGTATGTATGACTTAGAACTCATACAGATTTAAAAACACAGTCGTTTAATAGATATTGCTCGACTTGGCGGGGGCACTGCCGTGCCCCCCGATTGATGTTTAATAAACACTAACTAAGTCTAGTAGAGGAATAAAAATGTTGGTCCTAAGAACTGCAGAAAGAAACATGTCTTAAGTGGCTGCATCTTATTAAATTAAATCTTATTAAATTAATGGTAACTGCAAGATAAAGAATAGAGATTCGGTTGAGAACATCACACAGATACATAATTCTTTAACGTCGCGACACTCTGGCGAAGCTATTATAAAATAAACATACTTGGTATCACTTGAAGAAAGTAACGGCATGTTAGAAACCGCTGTGTAGTCTCTGTGATGAGCCACATTGATACTGAAGGTAGCTTTGTAAATGGGCTCGTCAAAGCAGGGGAAAGCCTTGCGAGCTGATATAGCTTCAAATTGAGTCGATATTAGGTACCTGCGGGATAAAATTTATTTAATTTATATTTAATACAGATATAAGTTTCTTGGTTTGCTTACTTATTTTTTTATGTAAAATGAAAAATGATAGTCTACTAGATTAGGATTTTTCAAACTAGTAACTGATAAATGAAATAATTACTATATAAGACCTTTAATTGATTAATTAATTATTATTAATATTTCATAATCAAAATAAAAAAATAAGTATTTAGTACTCTATCAAAAAATATTAGCAAAGAACTGAAAAAGTCTCTAAATGGAGTAGTTCCTATGGTATATTAATTTATAGCAAAAAACCAGAGGTTTTAACTTAATAAAATTACACTTACTCAGTTTTTTGGTTTTTCTTGTTGGTATAGGTACTGATGTAAGCGCCGTCAAGACCTTTGACCAAGTTGCCAGAAAACGGTATCGTTAGCTTATAGATCTCATTCTCTTTTAACTCTTCACTCAGAAAGATGACCACAAAGTTTAGAGTTTCATTATATTTGACGTCATTAACTTTAGGTGATTCATCTGGACCAACCACTGTGATTCTGTCTTCATCAATTGAAAAATCTTGGGCGTGAAGCACGATTTTTGGGGTATTTTGCTTTGGTGTTATCTGAAACAAGTTTAATTCAATTGATGTTTTTTATTGTTTTGATATTATTGTTGCTTGCTACAATTACATTCACACTCAAATGGTATTCTAGCAACCGTGGAACCTGCAATAAATGTATATGTCTCTTTTATCCACTTCACATGGGTAAAGAATAAGTTGTCCATGGAATAGCGCTTAATTAAAAAAAATACTCTGAAGGATTTTTTTTTATTTTTTTGCTGCAGCTATAAGATATGATATCACTTTATAAGATAGGTATCACTGTCACCATGACTGGTCTAATATGATCGCCATTTGTTGAGTTAGACTTCACCACTAAGCGCTGCAACTGAAATATACTGCCGGATTTGCCTAGAAAGACACCAGTTATGCCTGCATGAATCGGTTTGTTTTTATCGTTGGGAAGTGCATTTACGCACGAGGTGTGGGACTCACCGGCGTAATAAAGCCAGTACTACCCACTAAAACTCAACAAAATCTTACCCCGTCTTAATGGGGCGTCACAGGACTACCACAACCATGGGGTTGCTCCAAGGTCCACTCTGCTATCAGAGAAGTACCAGGAGCAACCCACATGGTAAACCGCCCACCGAAGAGGGCCACCTCCCACCGCCCACCGAAGAGGGCCACCTCCCACCGCCCACCGAAGTGGGCCACCTCCCACCGCCCACCGAAGTGGGCCACCTCCCTGTGCGTTTCTTGGCTTCGCGCCCGGCTGGATTGCCGGGCACTACTGAGCCCCCCCACCACGACAAGGTGAACGCACGTTGGGGGGGACATGAATCGGTACCCAAGTTAAAACTACTTTGTCTCTCGTTGTTTTGTCACTTGGTGCCTAGAGTTTTAACGAGACTATGTTTGAATCCGGAAGCAGAGCTAGCAGAGCAGCTTTGTTATCCGAGTTAATATAGACAGATTGGTTAGTGTAGCACTTACGTAAATTTGTTTCTGTACACTCTAAAATGACGCAAACCTAAAGCACTCGTCCGAGGTTTATGCTTTTGCTAAACTTCGGTCGCTCTCCATGTATTCCACAGCCTACCTTCAGTCCACTCCACTGAAGGTGGTAAGTTGAGGACAGATACAAAGCCAGCTCCACAGAATAAAAACAAAATATATTTGCATCACGATATTCTGTCACCACTGTAAATGCTCAGTCATTGCGTGTTCCGAGGATTGAGATATGTGTATCGCAGAATTACCAGATATCACGAATTCGATGGTCTATATTACAGTAATACTTAATTATAAGTGCAAAAGTGTGTAAGTGGGATTTTGTTCTTCAAACTGTAAATATATTTGAAGAAAATTCATAAAGAAGATGGCATATTTCACTTTGACTTTTTATTGATATATAGACTACAATACCGCGGAAATAAAACCTATATAAAAACAGGATTAAATAAAAGTAATTCATGGTTTGGTAATCATATTATTCATTTATTTATTTATTCAATATAATTAAAACGATGAGTATCGCATCGAGTACCACTCGTGATAAAAATATTCATACTGTTAAATGTCAGTGACTTATCTATTGTTGATATAATATTGAAGATCTAAATGAAATCAAAATGAAACACAATAAGCAATTTAGTAGAATTTATCTTTACATAATAATAATATCAAGCAGTGATAACCCAGTGGTAACGCGCTCGTTTCAAAAACCAAATAAAGCGGGTTCAACTCTCGGGTCTCGCACCTTTGTTATTTTCGTGTGCGAATCATTTTCGACATGTCACTTGTTAATTCGGTGAAAGGAAACATCGTGAGGAAATCATGCAGATTTCCTCCACCAGCTATCATCATACCAAATTTCATCAAAATCCGTCCAGTGGTTCTCTCATGATGCCTTCCCAGACAGAGAGACAAAAATTGTAGAAACTATAGATTCGGCCTCTGTATCGATAATAATGACTATTTCAATTATACTATCTTTTCGGATTTTTTCCCGAATTGATTTTGATTTTTGGTTCCCAACAGTTCTCTGTAACAAGTATGTAACGCCTTTGAGATGTCTAAAACCTTAGTCTCTCCTGTGACCATGATTGATGTAAACCATTAGAAACGTCGAGAACCAAAAATCAAAATAAATTCGCAAAAAATCCGAAAAGATAGTTTTATTTAAAATGTCAAATATTCGCGTAAATCTAAGAAAATATTATTTCAATAATATTTTCCACAAAATATTTAATGTACAGATTCGACTCAGTTAGAATTTGATTATATGTATAGATGTAGTTTTATTATTTTAAAAATTAAATAAAATTAAAGTAGGGACGAACACGTAAAAGTTGCAGGAAGGCGCTATATTATGCCTATATACAAAAAGTACAGATGTATAACTTAAAAGTTTATGATATAAAATATCTATATACTATCTAGTACATTTTTTAATTAATTAATAATATTTAATTAAATATTTAATTTAATTAATTAATAAAAACAAATCATGCAAATTGCATATAAATATAACTTGAGCAACTGTGTTTTTTTATTTATTTATAAATACTTTATTACACACACAAGGATAATACAGAAAACGAAAAGAAAAAGAAATGCGAGACAAAAAGCATGCAAAAGCGGTCTTTTTGCTATGAGCAATCTTTTACAACTACAAATATATAACAAAACATTAACGACAAATATACATATACATATATATATATATATATATATATAACACAACAGTTATATTATATATATATATATAATATAACTGTTGTGACGCACGTTAGCGCTTTTTCTTTAATAAATTGCATGCACATTTTTGAAAACATGTTAAAAATTCAAAAAGAAATGACGCAACTTATATTTGTACATAAATCGGTCGTCATTTTTGTTTCGGAACGATAATGTATGTACGTCCTTTTAAAACTATATTTATGACAGTTAAAGAAGTCCATTGACCTAAGTTCCCAGACTTTTTAATCGATTTAAAAAGTGTTATTTAATTTATCCCTTTATTTATTATGGGGGGAGTTTATTAGTTTATTTGATTGTTGATCTGGCGACTCACCCTTGCGTCACTTGGGTTCGTCCCTAGTTACGTTTTAATATTTAATACGATTACGATTTTAACGTTTAATACGATCACTTCAAAAATATTGTAAGGTATTTTGAGCCATTTTTGTATTTTTTTAAATTTATTTTGTTATTTTGTGGGTAGGCAGTCTATAACGACTATAACGCCTTTGAGAGTCTAAAACCTTAGTCTCTCCCGTGACCATGATTGCTGTAAGGCATTCGAAACGTCGGGAACCAAAATCAAATCAAATCCGCGAAAAAATCCGAAAAAAGAGTTTTATGTAAGTCGTTGCTGTTAATTGTAATTGTGCGTGAGAGTTGGTTTCTACTGCAAAAGTTCAAGAGATTTGAGTGAAATGAAATGTTCGTAAAGGTGATTGTTTTTTTTTATATAGCTGGGAAAATCGAACTTGTGAGACTCTTCTTCACCTAAACCCCTAGCCCCTAAGGCCGTTGTGGGAATATACCTTCTTTTATATTGGAGAGTTTTTAATATTAGAAAATGCATTTACGCATACCACCTGCATACATACAGATGGTTATGTAAGACTCACTGGCTAGAAAAGCCAATAAACTACCTACCCAAACCCAACGAAACCGCCCCCGTCTTAATGGGGCGTCGCAGGATCGATTACGCATTCAATCACGACGCCACGACAGTAGACCTGAATAAACAGACCACACAGCCAAGTGGCCGCTCCCACAGCCTACTCTGCTGTCAGAAAAGTACCAGAAGCAACCCGCATGGTACACCATCCACCAAATTGGGCCATCTACCTGTGTATTTTTATCAATTTAGGTATACCTACACCACCCGAGCAAAGCTATGGTCAAAAACTATATTCATAAATATATGCCGAGGATTAAATAAATAAAGAACAACAAGAATAAATATGCATTATGAGACAAATACCTATAATGGACTTCCTAATAAGCAATAACTATGTTTCAATTAAACTTTGTTTACAACTATCAAACAAAAATGTCAAGCGCGAGTCGGACTCATGCACGAAGGTTCCGTAGTCCGTACTACAAGAAATAAAGTGTAAAGTTTAACGATCTTTAATTTTACCTATAATTCTAAAAGTCTCAAAAAGTTAAATAAGACTGACTAATGCCCGATTTCACCAACAACCCATAAGCTACCACCTACGTATGGGATCCCTAGCTTAAAAGTCCCCTAAACTAGCCCCTAAATTAAATTTCGTTTTGCGATCGTCTTTAAACCCATATTTCGAGCACCTAAATTTAGGGGGCCTTTTAATATTTAGGTGACCCCTAACTGTCGGTGAAACAGAAACTGTCCCCTAACAGCCCCCTAATCATGCTTAGGGGATCCCTTAAACTTAGGTGACGTTGGTGAAATCGGCCATAATTCTCACCAACAACCCATAAGCTACCACCTACGTATGGGATCCCTAGCTTAAAAGTTCCCCTAAACTAGCCCCTAAATTAAATTTCGTTTTACCATCGTCTTTAAGCCCATATTTCGAGCACCTAAATCTAGGGGACCTTTTAATATTTAGGTGACCCCTAACTGTCGGTGAAACAGAAACTGTCCCCTAACAGCCCCCTGACCATGCTTAGGAGATCCCTTATACTCAGGTGACGTTGGTGAAATCGGGCATTAGACTCTATTATTGTCCACAATTGGTTACTAAAATATTGCATACAGAGTAAGTAAAAAGCGATTTTTTTTAGAATTTGTATCGCAAGAGTACGTTTTCGGGGCCACAGCGTGCGCGGTGTGGGCGTCATAACAATACAATAGCAACAATACGCTTAAACTGGGTTATGAATAAGCGTGATTTATTTTCTATTTTTAGAGGTTAAACACCTTTGGCGATCGACTCAAATTCAAAACTCCTGCGCAATTGAAATATATTCGTTTTTTTATTAATGAGTAGGTAACACCCACAGACATATTGTCTGTCTTTTTGAGCTCTTTTAAGGTTCCGTATCCGAAGGGTGCC